GGGTGTGGCTTTCGTGGGTCACACCATAGTACAGCATGGAGGGAGTCCTCCAATGTCTCTGGACACATGTTAGCTTCATCTTATGAAAGACTCCTATGTCTCTGTTGGCAGTTAGGGATGCGGACGGCCGTTAGCCTGGCCTCTTATGTCAATGAGTCCTGGTCATGATTCCAATGATTGCCAGAGGGGATAGGCATGATTTAGCCTCATGCTTTGATGGTATGAGTGAAGAGAAAAAATACTTAAAAGTGTAGATAAGCCAAAGGGAGCAGAGCTTGAAGGCTCCGCGGATGTGACTGGGCTGCTTCTGAAAACTCGCTCATGCAGCCAGGTAAAAACTAAGAGGTTATACAGACCCACTAAAATGGTATGCGGCTGAATGTACTGCAAGTGCTATTTAGCCGTATGAGAACATATCCATCCCCATGTGTGCATGCAGTCAGTGTGTGTGTGTGTGTCTGCTTGTCAAGGGGCTGTGCCCAGTGATGAAATACAATTTAATAGCTGCATAAAAATGTAAATAAAGAGTTGCTTAAAAATGACTTGTCCACAAAATGGTTTCCTCTCTCCCACTCCCCACCCCCCACATGCCCCCCCCCCCAAGCTAATTGTCTGTATCCGGGAAGCCAGATTTGGCGGGTGACCTTTTAAAAACATTCTCCTGCTTGATTAAAGACGTATTAAATTTGTTTAAATAAACCTCGTTGTAATGGCACATCATTTGTAAGATGCTATTAAAGGGGCTGGGAATTGCACCGGCATATTAGCATGAGAATGCATGAGGATCGTTGTGGAGCTGGCGGTCACCGTGGGTGACGTGTCCATCACTCTGTGGTGACGAAAAGAAAGCCACCGGAACATTCTGTGAGAACGGCGGATACGCTGTCGGCAGGGGCGTGCCTGTTCTGTGTAAGGCTGGCCCACTGGACACCCGACATGAGGAAAGAGAAAAGTTTGAGGGGAAGAAGTTTGAGAAAATAAAAAAGGAAAAGAAATTGACCCCATTTGGTGCAATGTGAGTTTGCAGTCCAGCCCTCATTTTCCTGGCATTAACTGTGGAAGCCACATGCCAAGTGGGGGGGGGGGGGTTAGACCAAACAGAAATGCCACCTGCCACCATCGTCGCCCCCCTGACTGCAGGCCACCAGGAAACGGCTTCCAGCATCCTCCACTGGGTGTACCTAGTTAGCGGTGATCGAGGGCTTTCATTTTAACCATCCCTTTTTATTGTACAATATGCTAAGTCATTCCGCTATTTATTGCAAAATTATGCAAGGTAATAAAGGGAATGCACATTAAAGTCCTCATTTCCTGCTCGGCAGCCAGACATTAAGGTGCGTTTAATCCCAAATTTAAAAGCAGCGAAGGGCTGGCTGGCATCACGCGGCACCGTCGTTAAGGCTCGGCTCTGGGTCTGCATCCTCACGCTGCCCCACGCCATACCGCTCCATCCTAAAAGTCCTCAGCCACGGCATAGGTTTCCATTGCATAAACGAAATGGTCAGCGCCTAACTTCAGCAGGAGGGCGAATGGAGAGCCAAGGCAAACTCTGTTTTTTAATTTTTTATTATGTGGCCAAATAACTGACAGACTATTCACTGTGGTTTTTTCTGCAAGTGCCTGTAAAATGACCCTGAAATGTTTTGTATCGTTTGCGGGACCCATTAACAAATAATAAAGGGGGGGGGGGGGGTTATCATCAATTAACAATTTTTCTTTCCAGTTTGGCAAGCGGATCACATGAAACAAAATAGAACTAAACAGAGTGGAAAACATACAAATCTCGTTTAAGCAGGATGTACTGCGGTAGAATGACATCCACACATGGAGGTGCGTCCTTAGGCTGAAGGTTCAAGGTAAGCCATGTGTAAAAAGTCCTTTAAATGGATGCCTGACACACCAGCATTTACCTCTCATTAACAAAGGATGGTGAGCCAATCACATGGCTTTCCTGAGTCAGCACAGCGCTGTCACGCAATGACAAGTGGTCATTAAGGTTGAGCTAATAATAATGTCAAAAAAACCACCATCATGAGAAGCAATCAGGACTCCTTGACGCACCCGTGTCCGGTAGCAGAGTCAAGGCTGCGGTTGGTGAAACAGGAAGCGTATCGCTCCGCCTCAGGCCTTCCGCTGGCATTGAACGGTGCCACTGCCACCGCCATAGAGGCCATTTGGGGGACGGCAAATAAACACCCTGGAATTATGGAGAAGGCATCGCTCTCCTTAACGCAGAGCAAAAACTGACGATGTACACAGGGGGCAGGTAGCTTAAAATCTTGATATGGGGGAGTCTCTATATGTTAGCTACCGGACTGCCCCCTGAGGATATGAGGATATCACAATCAGCATCGGGGGTGGGGGGCTCGAAACCCACACTGGGTGACCCAGTGATTCAGGGGGATGAGAGAAGTCCGCTGGCCAAATGGGGGTGGGGGGGGGGGCGATATTGTCTTCCTAGCAGGTGATGTTATTTGCAGGATGAACAGACAGAATGTCAGGATGAGGCTTTCAGTAAAAGAGCTGTGCTATTTGAATCGATGCTGCATGTGTATATGCGAGCTTTACACGATACATTGTAATGGGCACGGGGGTGCTCACATCACATGCATCGCCTCCCAGGTTGTCATGGCGATGCTCCCTTCACCTCCCATCCCTGCCCCAGGAAATCCCTAATGTACTTTCCATGCCAGGTCTGTTTAAAACCCTCAATGTTTGGATAACATCGTGAAACATCGTGAAACATCTCAAACGACCAGCTTTTATGGGGCAGGGCTACGGATCCGTCGCATCCTGGCGCCCTGTACTGTATACAACGGTGTATTTGTTCTACATCCGGATGTAGGATGCAGAAGTGTAAACACTGCAGATGTTTAACGTTTACCTGCCCAGCGTAAATGCAGAGGTTGGTTCAAGCGGCATTCGCTTTCCCAAGCCTCTGTGACCCTCAAATCTCACCAGGAATTGGTAAATGCCATGCTGACCCCCCACCCTCAACCCAACCCCAGCCCAGGCAAAAAAGCGAAAGGACCGAGATGTAGGCCCTTCACCCATGCGCATACCGCCCTGATCGGCAACGCCAAGCAAGTCCAGCCTTTCCTGTGTAAACCGTATACCACAGCTGATTGGTGAGACGAACAAGTCTGTTTTAAAACGAAACAATCATGTCACAACATAAGGATGTCAGTTTAAGGCACATAGGATGAGGGGAAAGATGGAAACAGATCAACATTCACACCCTTAACAGACATCTTTAGACTGAAGCCACTTGCAATTTCACACAAAAGGTACGTGTAGCAATCACATGAAGGGATATTAAAGCTAACCATCACTTTAATAAACTTTAATAAATCATTAGCATTTTTTAAACAGGTAATTATTATTAAAGGTAATAAACTACATTGGCTGTTAAAATATAACCAGCGCTAAGCACTAGCCTAAAGCTAGGTTTTTTTCCTTTTCAATAACGTACTCGAAGATAACAAAGGGAATTGTATTACAAAAGGCCTCCTTAATAACGTTTAAAGCTAAATAAAAGAATAATGTACCTTTTGAGCATGCAGAATTTCATTTCAAAACCCTCATAATAGGTCGTACTAGAGATCTTCTCATAGCCACGAGTAAAGCGAAACTCTATTAGTGCAACGCGTTTTGATGTGCCGCTACAGAGGATTCCGGAACGTGATGTTCTTTAAAAAGAGGTAATTAGGGGATATTTAAGCTGTGCAAACCCAAGTTTATTTTACACACTAGGAGGACGCGGCTTCCTGCGAGTGGACCTGTTTCGCCGTACCCAGAGGAGAGCGGATCTTAGGTACCGCGAGGAGCTCTGGGGTTAAGCACGCCTTCGAGCAGAGCAGCGAACATGCCGAGAAAACGACATGACAGGCCCCCCCCAGAGGAAGAAAGCTAACCTCGCTCGGGGGGGATTCTCCACTTTGGCCGCACTGTAGCCGCATGGTGTGTTTACCTTCAGTCGCCGTGTCGTTCCGGCTTTGGGTGGGAGGGGGCGGGGAGAGAGAAAGGGAGACACCCAAAGCCCTTAAGTGTCCCCAGTGGGCCATGTCAGCTGTGCCTGGAGATTGTGGTGTTTGGCCCAGACCCAAGGATTAGGTGTTCCTGAGAAGAACATTTTCTTGGCCCTACAAAGCCAAGGAATGTCATGGGAACAGTCTGGGCCTCGTTCTCCCCCCCACCCCCACCCCCCGCCCTCAGGCCCCGTATCAACAGGGCATCTCGCCACTCTCAGTTGTACAGAGGTGTACATTAACATAAATGGGACATTCGGGCAGGGGTGTCTGTGGGGGGGAGGGGGTGCAGGGGAGTAGAAGAGGGGACACGGTGAGGAAAGGAGAGAGGAACGAGGAAAGGGGGAGGGCTGGGGAACAATGAGCTCATTGTAGAGTTAAAGACACCAGGTGGGGAGAGAACGGCAGGGAGCAGCGCCATCTACAGCCCAGCACTGGCACTGCATGACGCCGCCCCGATCCCGAGGCCAGGTTTCACGTTCACACACACATAACCTCGACATGCAAACAGAGTCCAGGATCGCTGCCTTCAGATTTAAGCTTTCACTTCATTATTCACTATATTGTTCTTGCATCATTTTTATGGAGGGACCCGGAGCACTTTTCAGTGTTTCCTCCCTGGTCCGAGCTCCTGGCTCCATAAAAAGAAGACATACTCTTTTACTGTGAATTATTATTTGGCTCCGTCAGACTTTATGTGGACCTAGGGATGTAGGTTTCAAAGCCGAATCCCCGGTGCATCATTAACCACTGACAAAAAAGCGAACCGTGTGTGAATAAATGTATCACAGGGATAATGCAGCCATAAATTTCACCTTTCTGAGGGAGCGCAGGGCAAGTGTGATTGTATGCTGTCACAGAGACCTCCCATAACGCGCTCCTATTCCTGATCCCAATGCTCCTTGTCCCCTCCCCCCCCCCCCACACCCCCCCCCCCCCGGCCCACGGGAAAGACCATCCTAGCCATGTTAAATCAACGCTACCGCTAACAACCCGGAACGCCAGGCGCCCTCTCCCCGTTTCCAGAAATTAACAGCGTGCTCGCGGGCGGCCTCAGCACTCCACTCATGTGATTCCCGCAGCCAGGAAATTCCCAGCGATAGCCCAAGTGAAAGTCAACATTCATGGAGAGTGGGCGAGCTCCCCCCCGTCCCATGTGAGGAGACGCTCTCGTGAGCTGCTCGCCGTTCCATCCCATGTTTCACTGTGTTTGACATCTTCACGGAAACTTCATGGGCACCCAACTCAAACAGAGGTCTCCCGTTCTCTCTGCTGTTTGGCACACAAAGTGCTGGGCTGTGCAGTGACCTCTAGCTTACTTATGTTTGATAAATTATGTGTCACACACCACAAACTACGCAGGAGACGACATGCTTGCTTACTGTCCACACGGGTCATTCCTATTTCACGGTTTCTGCCCGTACGGCAACAACGGGTAAAATGCTCGATGCATTTCCGAAGCAGGTCAGTTTTCCGTGTCTTTGTTTCCCGGATGCTCCTGCGCTGCAGGATTCCCCGAGCGTTCGGCAGGCTGCAGTGCGTGTCCAAACCAGAGTTGACGTGGCATAACTGAGAAGTAATTAGAGCTGAGCTGGTGTTCACCAACGGCTGATGGCAGATCGATGCAGCTTTTCCATGTTATCAATTAATGACTTGTACTTACAAGCGTGGAGAATTGGCTGTCAGGCGGGCGGGTCGAGGGCCAGTGGTCCCTGCTGATGTGCCCCCCAGCCACCTTGGCACTGAAGGGCACTGACGGCGTCCGTCGGTGGTTTTCTCAGGCTTTGCTCTCATCTCTGGAGTGACTGAGCCACACACCAAATTCCCATACAGTGTTTTTCCCAGGGTGTCTGGCCCTCAGATCTCTAGTTTGGGAAAATGGATGAAGCACACATGCCAGTAAGACGGAACTGCGACGCCAGCAACTGACTCGGACCCCAGTGACTCCTCTCCTCCCCTCCCCCCGCACACTGTCCAGTCCTCTCAGAAACCCCAATGATGCTCCCACTATTAGGGTTATGAAAATACACCCGGCACCCTGCTTACCTGTACTGGAGGGGGCACATTCTTCAAATCTCCTACTGTGTGTTCATGTGGCTCCTCTTTATAGCATTAAATGCCACACAAGTCTGTTCTCAGACAGGACTAGGTGTGCATCTTCTTCTACATTCAATCCCCCCCCAAGGCGGCACTCGCTCCCTTCGCGTCGTACCTCCTGAGCCAGAACCCAACTGTAACAACAAAGGTTTATAAACAATGGAGGATTCCAGACGGCTGACCTCAGTGATGCAAGCAGACCGCTGAGATACAAATATTTACCCTTGCGTGCTTGGCTCGGTGCTGCATGGCCCAGCCGGCGCACTGCGGGCATACCTTTCCCCCCCCCGAAACTGCCAGCGATTATGCTGTGTCCCCAAGGAAGACACCTTTCAGGATTTGTCACACAGGGACATCCAAAAACAGACAGGGGGATCGTTTTTGCATTAAGATTTCAGTTTGAATGAATTTTCAAGGGGTTCAACTCGCAGTTGCTTGACCCAGTGTCGATCAGAACTGCCGAAAAGTGCTGATCCCCCTACAGCAGACGTAGGCTGGTGCTGACCAGGGGAGGGGTTTGACTTGCCTGTCCTGCAGGGATGAAAGTCATGTGATAGCGATGGGGGGGGGTGGTGGAGTCTTGGGGTCAAAGGTTGGCTCCTGTCTATGGCAGATGGGGGTGGGGCAACCCTACAGGTCAGAGGCCCGAGCCGCTCTTGCTGATCAGCTGACCTGAAAGTACAGTTAGCACAAGTCGTCCTGGGGGACCAGCATCAACACTGATGTTTACAGAGACGGGAAGCCCCCACTGAGTCCAGTCTCTCCCCCCCGTGCTTTTTACGGTTCCACCCCCTCATGTCCACCACGAAGGAAGGAAAAACAAAAAAAATAAACAAAAAAATCAAAGACTAAGTGCTCATTTCCCGACGTGCTGCGAACCCAAGGGAAGTGATATATGCAAAAGGTGTATTGAACAGAAAGGTCCGGCGCTCTATTGTTACCAAACTTACCACTAAAACCTGGGGGGCCAGGGAAGACCAAGATCGATGAGGAATGGGGGGGCAGATTATGGGGCGAACTGCGACAGTTTAGTGAGATAAATCTCATATGGCACCGCAGATTAGCATCTCGCTCTCTCATCCAAGGGTGCCTGGGCTGCAGGCGGGCCAGATGAAAGGGGGGGAGAGCAACGGCAGCATCGTGCTCCGTTATCATTTCCCTTTCCTTCACAATCGGCATTTAAGCCCCCTGCACCCCCGACTCGGCTGAGACTGCACTATGTGCGTATGAGTGAGCCACCACCTGGCGAATCATGGCTGTTGGTTACAGATGAGTAGCAACTGCCAGGGTGAGGTGCCTCCCGTTTAGGGTCTTGGCCGTCCCTCGTCCCAGAAGCAGTGACTGGGGGTGCGGGGACAGCGGTGCAGATACCGATCCCAAGAGTGTCTGCGTATAAATGGCACACAATGAACATGCAGCCTTGCGCCAGAGTTCTGCTTTGTGTCGACAGGATAGTGCATAAACGAGGTGTCTGTCAGCCACGGTTACAGCCCCCCACTTTGAAGTGACCCCCCCCCCACCCTGGCTTGGGATGAGAGACGGAGTTTAACTGCCCATCAGAACCCCAGAACTCAGCTGAGAGTAAACAGCCCATCGCCCACCACGAGCTACATTACTCACCGCCAAAACCGGCAAGGACGAGCTGTCAGGACAGGGGGGGTGCGGTTATGCGCCCAACGCCGCGTTTATTTGGCTTTTCGCGACGTTTTGGCAGCCTTCGAGACCCCGCCCCAGCGTGCGGTGCCGTTACACGCATCTGGGCGAGTCGTGTACACGGTGGGGCTTAATCAGGCACACGTGTGGCTGTGCTCAGGCCGTCTCTGATCACAGCGAGCGCCAGCATGTATAGGAAACTGTCAGGCTGATCAAAACGGCGGCCTGCGGACCCTCCAAGTCCGAAAGTGATACAGAGGCGGCCTTCCTGTCCAATAAATATTTAAGTTTGAAGTGTATTTTCATTATAATTGGTACAGAGTTCAAACACACCGGCCTTTGATCTCCGCTTCTTCCTGTTATGAAGTTTAAAATTGGACATTTATTTATTAGAGACGCACCGCTTCCAGAGCACCTGGTGCAACCCATGCCATGAGCAGCCCGGCGATCCTGGGAGATGGACTCCTAGTGGACCACAGGGCTCAACACTGGGGGAGTGATGGGAGGGGGCCTGAAACGGGATCCGGCAGAGCCAGATCATTTGTCACTTGACCTTCAAAACGTGCTATCCAACCTGTGGAACTTTGATGTTTCAACCCAATGCAGGCCGGCTGTGAAAGGGCACTTGATCACAGCAAAACAAGCAGAAAAAACATATAATAATCAGCCGGGCATTATTAAGGTCACCTGACATAGTCGTCTGCAGAGGCTGCCTGACGGGCCCGGTGTATCGAAGTTGCTTTGTAGGTCAGTGTGTGTGGGTCACAGCGGGCCGGCAGTCCCCCAGGGCCCCGAGCATCGCAAATAAGCCCCTCACTTCATGAGGCTGCACACATGCCCACGTGTGACGTGTCACAGCGCGATTAGAGCAAAAAGCCCATACAGTGAGCACATGGGATAAATGACCAGGACCGAAACAATTAAAACTGCCATCACAGAGGCCCGAGAAAGTAAGTGTGTCACAGATATGATCAGATATGGATCACCCCTGTGACAGCCCCTCTACATTTAAATCAGCTACTGGCTCCAGCTCATGGACCAAGGTTCCTCAGAGATGACTTTGTAATCTTTATGAGAATGACGTAGACATTGATGACGGGGCAGAGGCTGCACACACGCCATACCCATGTGTAACATGCTAAGAACACGCGTGACACAGATGGCAACCAAGCCGCTTGGTGCATGGCCATCCGAGCACTCAATAGCCACACGTCTTACTCTCGATTTCGACAACACCGTAAGTGACAGTTCCGAGCACCCACCATGCTTACCTGCCATCTTCGACGTCGTCCTTGTGTAGTGATTTAGCCCCCCCCATACCCCCTATAATGCACCAGTGTGCTGAGAAGAAGCATCTTGCCTGTGATATACTACATCAGCCAAAAAAACCTCAAACATGGTGCTCCCTCCCTCATTATAGAAATATCCGGTTTATGGCAGAAAAGGTCTTTTTTCCCCCCCCGCTATGCCCGCAAATCGGTGAAGGCCTCCTGCGGACTGTGCTGCCGCCCCTGGCCCCCCAACCCCAGGTCTGACACCCTCTGGCCTATCACTGATATGCAGGACCCCGTCTCTCCTGGTCTGTCTCGGTAAGAAGCGGATATTCAAGGAGAATGCAGGCAGACGGGAACACGGCCAAGGGCTGAACGCTCGTCATGAGCTTCAACCATGCTGTGGAGGAGGCAGAACCAGTAACCTACAGGTTACAATAACCATGCCCTTAACTATTGCGCCACCTGCTGTTTGAGCTGACTCTGATCACCCTGGACGGATGCTCGGGGGTAATCACAGGCCGTACCCCAGGGCTGATTATGATCAAATCTGGCATGAGGAAAGCCCTAATCCTGCTCACTGGCTGGGGGGGACACCTCCCTTCCATCTGGCTGATAGCCTTTTCTTTACAAAATCAGCAGAGAGAGCTTTTTACAGCTCATAATACCACATGTATGCATTACAATGTCCCTGCAGTACCACGTTTGTTTAGGGGGGAAAAAGCCACATGAATACATTTGGTGGGTTAGATTTCCCTAAATTTATACCCACTTATATGTGGGGGGAGGGGGGAGCGGCAGCAGAGCGACTCACATCAACATTACAGTCTCTCCGTTTCAGAAACACCATTAAATACCGAAATTCACAGTGATCCACGATAAACTGGGCCAGTTACTCAGTCCAAGCTTTCCTCCATCTACATGGCTCTATCTGGGACCATGCAGTTCGCCTCTCCTCCTGCCTCATACATTTTATCGCTGGTGTCCCCCGCAGTGAGCTGCACCCTGCGCTGTCCATGATGAAGCATCACCTATATGTTTTGAGTTTACTTCTTTTTCACCCAATCCCTGTCTCAGTCCCCCTTTCCTCTGACCCAAATAGACTAGCCAACCCCCCTATCACGCGGCCTATCAGACGGGCCGTAACGCTGACCCCTCCGGGGGTTCGCACCTACAGCCCTTTGCTCGCCGCCCTGCTAACCATTTGACATCGTGTTACTGCCCAACACAGAGCAGACCTTTGAACTTGAGAAGCACATGCAGAGCTGCATTCATTCACAGGATGAGAGGGTATCACGAACCGTCCACTGCCCAGGGAGATGGGGGAGGAGGAATGGGGTCACATGCTCTACAAGTCTGATTCTGATGATTAAATTACATGCTCTTCCTTTTAGGGGAATTCCGATTTTCATGGTCCCACTTGAAAACAAGGCGATGTGTCTTTACTAGAAAAATAGATTAACTCAACTGCACGTTACTGAGATGTTATTTTTATATCAGTTACATGTATTAGTACTTAATTTAAACCAAGGAATCGGCATCGATTTTCCTTGTAGGGTTAGGGCTCCCCGAACTGAGAGAAAGGGGGCAAAGGGTGTGTCTTTAGCTCTAATAAACAGCAACAGCAGCACCAAAATAACAACACAAACACGGGCCATTGGCAGAAGCAGAACTGAAGCCTTCAGAGCACAGAACGGCAGGGCCAGAATAAGCTACACCTAGGGAGGAGCGAGGAGCTTGAGGTGGGGTTTTTAATCTTACGGCGACAGTTTGAAAAATGCAGCCGGAATAAATTATACATGCCCGCTAATGGAAAGAGTTAGGCAAAGTATATACAGAAAATAAAAAAGGCATGTTTGATAAAAAGGCTATTAATGAAGAAATAGGATCCCGGGAGGGGCATGAATGTGTGTTTTCCTCTGTGCGCTGCCCGACATGCACAGGGTTACATCGCGCACGGGCTATAAAACAACCGCACGTGCGGGTGGTATAAATGTCACCCGTCAGATCCCCCCCCCCACCCCCAAGCCGGTACGAGGCTCAGGATGCACGACATTTATTTAAACGTACAATGAAACTGCCGTGATAACGGAGACAGCGCACACACAGCTGGGCCGAAACGCAGACAGAAAAATCGCTTCAACACCGGGATCGTACACGAGCGCAGAGCGATGGAGCGTGATTATCCGTGCCCAAGTTCACA